CACCACCAAGGTTCAGAGAGGCCCAGGTCACCTGGCGAAGACCACCCCGGCCTGTTGCAGACTTTGTCCACCTGCACTGGTCAGATGACTCGCGTGTGCCAGGCCACCAAGTAACGCTGGCCCCATAGAGGAACGAGGCTTTGGGGATTCACCCACAAGGCGGGGATGGGAGCTCCTCACTGCAGAACCCCTGACACGGCTTCTCTGATCCCCGCCCCCCACTTACAAAGGGGAGTATCTCCCAACAAGAGTCCCCAACAGCCCAAAGGGCCAGGTTTTGTTCTGTTCTGCTGGGACCCTGGAACCGGCCCTCACCTGATGCCTGTTGTCACCATCCCTGGCCTCCCAAGCCCATCCACATGGTTCTGCGGCCGCGTGTATAATATGCATTGTTCACCTGTCTTCTGTTTCTGTCCCCTCCCCGCTATTTTTCCTGTGACGGATGCCTGAAGCGAGGTGAGCTTTGGGGGATCTCTGTCCTGGTTAAGTCTTCAGGCTGGTGAAGGTGGGGTGGGCATGGGAGGAAACCACAGAGAGCGTGGGTCAGGGAGGGGAGGGCCGCCCAGTGCTCAGGGTCACTGGGAGGGACGGAGTCCTGGGGCTGGGGTGGCAGCAGAGCTGGCTGTGACTCTGCACCCTCGCCGAGCACCAAGCGAGTTCCCCTCACCCACCCTGGGAGCTCGTCCCGCCCAGGTCTGGGAGGTTACCATCCAGAGCGCCCAAACACGCACGTCTCTGATGCTTTCCAAGGGGTTTGCACATCCCCGATCTCGTTTTGTGCGACAACTCTGTGAACTCTGCGGGGGGGAACCTTGGGCTCCTCACCTGCAGATGAGGAGGGCGGTGCCCACAGAGGTCATGAGACCCACGCCGGGCCTGGCAGGATTCCAGCCACAGCAGAGCCAGGATCAGAAGGAGGGCCTCAGCCCTTAGGTCACGGTGGCTGACTGCAGCGTTCTCTGAATTTGAGAATTCTGCCTAAGTCACAAAGAGGAGCCTTTAAGGGACCCTAGGCGAGGATTTGGGATGACGGTGGTGACTCTGGCCGGCACTCATCATGGCCTGGCCCAGACCTCCTGTTCTGCAGCCTCTGCCTCACCCTGTCTCTCCCCTTCTCGCCCTCAGAGAAAATCCAAGATCACCGCCTCCCGCAAACTCATGCTGAAGGTGAGGTCGGGTGCTGCCTTTGGGGGAGACGGTGAGGGGGTGGGGTGGGGACCAGAGGGGAGGCAGTGCAGACAGAGCACTGGGAGGGTCCTGGGAGGGGAGAGGACGGAGGCAGTGACCACCGCCGGGTGGGACGGCAGGGCTGGGGCAGAGGGAGTTGCTGCTTTGCTAAGAGTTGCTCTCTTCGGAGCTTTGTGAGCCCCAACAGAAGCGGGAGGGACAAACTCCAGGGCCCACACGTGCAGGTGGCCACGCGGTGCTCGGGCTCCCGCGGCCTGCCTGTAGCCAGCGCACACACGTGCACACTCGGTGACCTGTTCACACGTGCCCAGGGCTGCCTGGTCTGGGCCCTGATGAGCGTGAGAAACTGGAGAGCCAGCTAAGGCCGGCCTGGCCCGCCGGGGTCCGCCTCCCCGCAGGCCCGGGGGCTGACCAGCCCTGTCTCCTGTCCAGAGCCTGATGCTGGCCAAAGCCAAGGAGTGCTGGGAGCAGGAGCAGGAAGCGCGCGAGGCTGAGAAGTCCCGCTACCTGGCCGAGCGCATCCCCACGCTGCAGACGCGCGGCCTGTCCCTCAGTGCCCTGCAGGTCAGCGAGCCTTGCGGCCNAGCAGGCCGGAGGGGCAGACATGGGGTTCAGGGGTTCAGAAGGGTGGGGGGCTCACAGATGCCTGCGTGGGCACGTTACACAGGCAGCTGTGAACATGGCCTGACGCGGGGGGCAGCCTGGGCCAAGACACAGGTGTGGCCCCTGGGAAGGCTGGGGTCTCGTCCCCACTGACTCAGCCTCTGCTCTTAGCCCTGGGACTCAGTTCATCCTTCTGACAAAGAGGAACGTAAGTCCTGTCCCTCACCATCTGCCTGCAGCGTGGGAGGAAGGCACAGTGTGAAAGCCCCTGGGCCTGGTCACTTGCTAATTTGGGCTCCTTGCTTCTCAGACAATGCTTGGCAATGGGGTTGGCAGGTGCTGGCCACGGAGGGGACAGGCCTGACTCCACAGCCACGGCCTTCTAAGGCTTAGCTCCTCTGGCCAGACACTTCCTTCCCTGCCCTGGGAGGGGACCCTGGGACCTGGGGCAGGGGCCCTGGCCTCACTCTGCCCCTGCAGTACCTGAGGAGGAACCTCCCAAGACCCTCAGAGCCCTGCAGACGGCCTCCCCTGGGGGGGCTGCATTCATGTGGGGACCACCTTTTGCTCTTCTCTGTGTCAGTCCCTCTCTCTGTTTTTCCTTCCCCAAAGCAGGATAATCTTGCAGACAATTCATTCTTTTGTGCATAGGAAGGCTTTGTAAGAAAGTTCTTGCGTAAATTAAAAACATAATAAGCAACACCACAGAGCCCAGTGGACTCAGCCCCAGCTCCCAATTCCTTCCCTGACCCCAGCGGCCCCTCGGCTGGTGCTGGCCTTTTTTTTCTATCCCCTCCCCATCCACCGGGAAGCCTATGTCCCCGGCCACCACGGTGACGTCCCAGACCCTGTCCTTCCTCCCGGGCAGCCTTCCAGAGTAGAGGCTCCCCCAGCTTGAGCTGACCGGAGCCGCAGTGTCCAGAGGGCAGGACCTTTACCCTTCCCTGGGCACTCTGGGGCTGTCTCCTTAGGACACCCGTCACCAGCTCTCCCCCCGCCCCCCAAACAGGGGACACGGTGGTGCTGCTTGTCAGTGGGGTCAGCACCCTGCTTGTCCTGGCCCAGCCCCGGCTCCGGCCTGCGAGGTGGCCGACGATAATAGCCACAGGATTAACATAGCCAGCATTGTCCTGCTCTGACTATAGGTGGGTATTATGTGTTCACCCACCGTCCTAAAAATACCCTGTAAACAGGTGCAGCCCCGGTGGCATCAGTCCCCTGGGTTCTCCAGCGTGCGGCTGCAGACAAAGGGAGGGTGGGCAGAGGGCAGTTAACCTCACCGACGTCCACGCATGGGACATGGGGTGCCATTCGGAACCTGGGAGGCCTCGATTCCTGGAACCCCACCTGGAGAGGGGCACAGAGCGTCTGCAGACCCTCAGACTTCCATGAGCTGCTGCTGCACTTGGGCTCAGCATGGGACACTCTGTCTGCAGCACGCTCACATCACCCCCAAGCCCAGGCATCCTCCTAGCACACGGGTACCAGAGCACACACAAGAGTCCCCCAAAGATGTGGGGTGTGGGCTCGCGGCCTGATGTTTACTTTTACTTGTCAGAGGTAGAGGGTCATGGAGACGTTCCCCTCCTCCAGCCCCGCTGGCTCCCCGGCCTCCCTGGGCCCCACGTTTCCTCACCCCCCGCCCAGTCCAGTCCCGTCAGGGCTCTGGCCCCCTTGGGTCTGGCTGCCCATTCGTTCTCCTCTTTGTCTCCCTGACTTGACTCAGTTGCTGGCCTCTGTGTGCACAGGATTTGTGAGTCATCTGAGCCTCGTGCACACGTCGTGGGCCTGCTGGGTGTGCACTGGGAGCTGTGTGGTGGGAGGGGCAGCAGCTCTGTTCTATTTTTACTGGCCAGTTGCCGTTGGCCGTCGCTTTCATAGCCTTCCCTTGCGCTGGCCCCACAGTCTGTAGTCGACTGCAGGACACAGCCAGCCCAGCTCACGGACACGGAACCAGGTAGGTGTCTGCAGCCCAGAACTGCAGATCCAGGTCGAGCCCAGACTGAGGACCTGGGCTGGGGTTTCAGGAGAGCACCAGGGCTTGGAGTGGGAGGCGGCATTTCTTGCCTGTATAATTGGGTTTCTAGGTGGAACAGCCCCACGGTGTGATGTCACATAGGATGCCACCTCCCCTGCCCAGGACTTTCCACAAGTGGCTTCAAGGGCCCAGGCAGAGCCGAGTGGGCTCTGTCTTCACATCGGGCAGCCCAACGGGTCCCCGGAGGGAGAGGGCGCCTAGCGGGAGAGACTGGCATTGGGGATCAGAGGGCGGGGGTGGGGCTGCGTGTGGAAATTTAGGAAGAGTCTGGAGGGCAGCAAAAGGGGGCGATGCCTGCAGTGGACAGAGAGAAGGTCCTCTGGCGAGCAGGACTGGGCCCCAGGCCCCGCTGACCGCGGAAACCTCTCGCCTCTGTTTCTTTGTCTCTGAGGGACGGGCTTGGCTCCTTTGCCGTCCATCTGGACAGCAGGACAAGAGCAGGTGAGGGGGACTGCCCCTCCCCTCCTGCCGCTCCTGGCTCTGAGGAGCAGGAGGCAGATGGCGACAGCACCTGGGTTGGGGTGTGAGCGTCCGTGGCCGGCGTGGCGGTGGGGGTCCCGGCAGTGCCTGTCAGCAGATTTGAGACAGCCCCACCGCCGTTCTGAGCCTAGACTTTCCTGGTCAGAGCTCAAGATGGGGGTGTGGTGTGTGGTCAGTCAAGGAGGACTGGGGTGCCCATGAAGTGGACCCAAGCTCAGGGGCGGGGAGCACAGGGAGGAACGTGAGCCTCACTTGAAATGTGTGTCCCTGATGATCAGGCGTGCAGAGACCAGCCGCTCTCCCTACACACACACGGTCACGCACATGCACACTCACGCACAGCCTCGGTCCCGTTGGTGCAGTTGATGTCCTGCTCACCCCACGGGGCCTCAAGGAAGGAGGCGCCCAGCTGTGAGTCAAGCCCCGGCGGCCTCCCCCGGCTGGCTGTGGGTCCGTGATTATCTCCTGGCTGGCCCCTTGTGGGGGACATGGAATGCTGGCCTCCGACAGCCCGTTGGCTGCTATCTACATCCTGACTTCTTATCAGGCCCCTGCTATCTCCCAAAGGACCTGTCAAGGGGTCCCGTCTGGTGGGTATCGCAGCACAGGCTGGGGACCCCTGGGCCTGGCATTTGTCAGCGGGGCAGGCCCTGGAGCTTGGCAGGAAGCCTGGACTGGCCTGGGCAGGTGGGCCCCACTCTGGTGACAGGGGTTCTCTGAGGCAGGTCTGAGCATGGCTACGTGCCCACCAAAGGTGAGGCACGTCCTGGCGAAAGAGACAGGAAACCCACGGGGCTGAGACCTGGGGCCCTTGGGAGGGTGATGATAATGGATAGACGTCCTGGTTCCTCTCCAGCTAGTATTTCTTTCTGGATTTTCTCGGCATCTCTGGAAGAGCAGAGCCCTCAGAATAAACAGCTGGCGATAAATCTAATTTCAGCCAAGCACGCGGGGAATGTATCGATGGATGGGCGCCCACCTCTCCCTCTGTGCCCAGAGTGACAGCTGAGACTCCAGGTCACCCCCCCCCTCCCCAGGCTGCACTCTCCCTGGCAGCAGAGGCAGAGGTGGGCCCCGGGGGTCTCTGGTGGGAGATCCAGGAGTGGGGCCAGCCCCGCTCATAGGCTTCTTAGGCACAAAGGGAGAGGCGAGCATTAAGGCAGAGGCAGGAGGTCACCTAGTCAGGGAGCGGCTCTCGAGTGAAGTTGCTGGACCACGTTGGATCCCCTGCCGGCCCCCATCCAGGTTCTTGGACCACGTCCAGCCTGCTGACCTTGTGCCCTGACAACATGCACACTGGTCCCCGTCCTTCCCTTCACGACCCAGCTCAGGGCTCCTGTCCTGCTGTGCACACCCGTCCCCAGGCAGCTGTCCCCTGATCCTTTGCACACCACCCCCCTTCACTGTGTCCAGGCCCAGGCAGGATGGCTGGTTGGGTCTGGCTTTGGAACACCCCCTCTGCAGCCTCATGGACCCCCTCCTCGGCCGGGACCCCCAACAATCAGGGCTAAAGGGGTCCTCCCAGAGGACGAGGGCTCCTGCGGTAACCCTGTGACCAGGGCCGTCTGCTCTGGACGATTGATTTTGTTTGCCTTCCAGGTAACATTCAGTTTGAGCAAAGCTTTCAAGAGCTAAATGTTACGTGGCAAACAACTCCTCTAAGCCCTAATTTTGCAGAGGAAAACGGGCCTGGAGGGGGCGGGATGAGGATCGGCCCTGACCCCCTCCCCCAGCTCACCCGCTCCACTGGGGGCCCCCTTGCGGCCCCCTCCCCCAGGCTGCCAGCCACAAGGGGACCCGCCCCGGCACAGTTACACTGCACAGAGCGTGAATGGCACCCCCTGGAAAACTGCACAAGTGTGTCTGCCATCCTGACCCAGGGACCCCACCGTGTCTGGTCTCTTCCCACTCTTGTCTGGCCCCCGCTCCCCCATGGGGTGGGGCGGGGCTGTCGCTTTCCTCATTAATGACTCTTCTGTGCCCCCAGGTGCTGCCCGCCACCATGCCGGAAGTGTAAGTACTCNCGTCCTCACGTCCCCACAGGCAGTTTCTCCTATTGTTAAAATAGCCACATACTCAAGTAATGAATTTGTTACAATTGGTGAATGACTATTGATACATTATTATTATCGTAATATTATCTTTCGTATCCTAGGCTCCCGCCCAGCTACTGATCTGTATGGGGCCCCTTTTCTCTCCGGAGGCTTTAAACACCTCCCCAGGGTCCCTGTGCCTTAAGTTTTTGCTGTAAAGGAGCCTGTGCTTGGGGACCACTGTCACCTCAGTTCTGGAAGGTGTGGGTTTAATTTCTTTGATAACGATCTCTTTGTAAGTTCTCTAGACCTCTGACTACATTGCACCTCCCAGATGATCCTTTACTTTCCTTATCCTTCCTCACCTACGTCCCATCTCTCTCTTTTTTTTTGATCCTTTCTGGAAAATT